GAAATCAGTGTTCCAAATTGCCTGTAGATGGACTCTAATAAAATACAATCTTTTAGTCTGTCAAAATTTTAATTGAAATAAATATGTATAAAATAAAATTGTTTAAGAAACCCCAAAATAATAAATGAACATTTAAATTATGAAATATTTAAAGTCATATATTTTGTACTTTTATGAAGTACAGGCTCACATGTGCATTGGTGGTTTGTTATTGAGTGATATGCGTATTTTTGTGCATGTTTTTCCAGCTGCTGAAAATGCTTGATCTTAACTAGTTGGAGTAATGGTAAAAAGATAGATAATTCCAAATATATACTTCTAACTTCTTTGTCTATAGATAATTCAGTTTCTTTTTTGGTAACTTTGAAGTTTTATAATTTAAAATTTTATTTACCTGAATTTTCATATATTTAATTTTTAATCAGAGTTTTAGGTTCTTATAATTTATTGACTTAAAAAGATATTACAAAACCTGCTGAGAAAAACCACAGTTACCCAAACCACTAACTCATTGCCTGTTAGAGAGAGCCAGGTCCTTTCTCTTCTGTTACCCCCCTAACAGTGACAAACGTTGGCCAGAGAGGAAGGGAGCCCTACTGATGGTGAAAAAAAGGCCAGCTTCCTGGGTTATTACAGAGGGTAGAGAGTGATTTCAAAGAGCAGACAGAATATAGCCAGCCTAAACAGATTTAATTTCTAAGACGTCTCTTTTTAACTTTCTAAATATACTTTAAAAATATATATATGTGTTTCTTGAATGCAGTGTTTTCTCTTAACCTTTGTGAGGATTAAAACTGTTTTCTTTTTGACTGTGTTATTTCTTCCAAGTAAGGATTTTACCCCCTTTTCTCTCTCTCTTTCATGTTGGATAATTTTTTCCAGTTGTCTGTCCATCTCAGTATATTTAAGAGTGAGACACAAAAAGTTGATAGGAAGCTCTTCACATATAGATGGTGCTTCTGCTTTCCAATTCAGTAGGTCTGTAGTGAGACCCATAAATTTGCATTTTAGCTAGTTCCCAGATATGCTAACACTGTTAGTCCAGGAGTCATATTTTAAGAACCACTTTATTAGGGAATGCTTTTGAGATTCATACCTATGGAAGGGAATGGATGGGAAGGAAACAGTTTGGGCAGTGAGAAAGTTGAGCTGCAATGCTGAAGAGTTACGAAGCTAGAATGACCCATCAGAGCTGTCTCAAGTTGAGGAAAGGGGCTGGGCCTTAATATCCCCATGTTGATTACTGTCTAAATATGGGCTGTCCCTGGAAATTGCTATGACCTTGAGAAGTGATGTTTTCTTCAGCCTAGATGATCATACCCAAGAGCGAAGACACTGAATCCTGACAGACCAAGGGCTTTGTGCTGCACTGCACTGCGCTCCCAGCAGTAGGCAAAATTCTTTGCTGAAAAGGGGAAATGGAACATTGTGTTACGTTGTTTGTACATGATCCTTCCCAGTCAGCAGGGAAGCCTTATCCTGAGACAGCTACTTTTTCTCACTTGTCTTTTACCATAGATTAATTTTATCTATTCTAGAACTTCATATAAATAAGATCATACAGAATGAAGTTTTCTAGGTGTTTTATATGGCTCAGTATAATATCTATTAAATTCATCCATGCTCCTTGGTGTATGTATTGGTTTTTTTTAATTGCTGAGTAGTACTCCATTGTGTGAATGTGCCACACATTGTTTATTCATTCTTACATTGATATCATTTGAATTGTTTCCAGTTTGGATTATAAAGATTCTGTGAACACTCTTACTCGTTTTGTGGACATCTAGTTTTATTCCTGTTGGATAGATACTTACAGTAGGTTTTTATCTAACTGCTAAACTAGTCCAAGGTGGTTTTACCTTTCACAGTCCCACCATAAATGTATGAAAGTTGTGGTTGCTTCAAATCCTTGCCAATATTTGGGTTTTTAGCATTTTTAATTTAAGCTTCCTATTGGTGTATCGTTGCAATTTTGATTTGTATTTCCTTGGTAGCTTGGTTCCTTGAAGGATACCAAGCCACCAAGGAAACCAAGGTTTCTTGATTCCTTTTCGTGTGTTTATTGGGCGTTTGTGTACCTTTTTTTGTGAAATATCTATTCCAGTTTTTTGCTTTATATTAATTGAGTTACCTGTCTTTACTCTGGAGTCATAGGAGTTCCTTATGTATTCTGGGCCTAAGTCTTTTGTCAGATATGTTTTTCAAGTATTTTATTTAGTTGGTGGTTTATTTGCTTACTTAATTGATGTCTTTCAGTGAATAGAAGATTATTCTCATTTTGATGGAGTCTGATTTATTTTTATTTTTAGAAATAGGGTCTTGCTCTGTTGTCTTGGCTCCAGTACAGTAACATGATCAGAGCTCACTGAAGCCTTAAACTCTTGGGCTCAAGTGATTCTTAGCCTCCAAGTTGCTAGGGGCTACAGACATGCACCACCATGCCTGGCTTTTAAAAAATTTTTTTGTAGAAATATAATTTTTCTGTGTTACCCAGGCTGGTCTCAAACTCATGGCCTTAAGCAATTCTTCCCCCTTGGCCTCCCAACATCTTTTTTGTTTGTTTGTTTGTTTGTTTTTTAATGTTTATTGTGGCAGGGCATGGTGACTCAAGCCTTTAATTCCAGCACTTTGGGAGGCTGAGGTCGGTGGATCACCTGAAGTCAGGAATTCAAGATGGGCCTGGCCAACATGGCGAAACCTCATCTCTACTAAAAATACAAAATCAGCCATGTGTGGCAGCACACACCTGTAATCCCAGCTAGTTGGGAGGCTGAGGCAGGAGAATTGCTTGAACTGGGAAGGCGGAGGTTGCATTGAGCTGAGATCGTGCCACTGCACTCCAGCTTGGGTGACAGAGCGAGACTGTCTCAAAAAAAAAAGTTTATTGCTTCTGTAACCCTAAGAAATCTTTGTCAGCTCTCACATCATAATATTTTCCTATGTGTTTCTTCAGGACACTTTAAGCTTCAGCTCAAATTTTTCTATACTATGAGGTTTGTACATTTGTTTACACACGTGTCTAGTTACTCCATAAGGATTTGTAGTAAGGATTTTCTGTTGTCCCTTGAATTGCTTTGGTACCTCTGCTGAGAATCAATTTACTGTATAGAAGTTAGATATCATTAGTCAGGTTTCATTCATATAACTTTTTCACTGCATGGAATGTTACTTTTTTCTGGCTTCTCTCACAGTGTGCTTTTTAGCTTTGCTTTTTCATCCTTTTGACTATGTGTGGGTTTCTTTATAATTACCCTGCTTGGAATTTTCTGAACTTCTTGGATATAGAGGATTGTGTTTTTCATAGAATTTGGGAAGACCTTGGCCATTTATTAAATATTATATGTTTCTATCATCTCTGCTCTCACATTGTACATAGTTAGACACTTGATATTGCACTTTAAGTTTCTGAAGCTCTGTTTATTATTTTAAAAAGTCTTTTCTTCACATTCAATAGACCTATTCATTTTCCAGTTAAGTGACCCTTTCTCTGCCATCTGATCTCCAATTAAGGTCATTCAATGAATTTTTCATTTCAGACATTATAATTTTTAAGTTCTAGAGCTTCTATTTGGTTCTTTTTCATAGCTTCCATTTCTCAGCTGAGATTTCCCCATATAAACATTTATTATGGCCATGTTTTCCTTTAAATGCTTGAACATGTTATAATACTTGCTTTGACATCTTTGTCTGCTAATTCTGACATTTAGATAATTCAGGATTTGGTATCTGTGAGCTGCTTTTTCTATTGACTCCAGGTCTTTTTTTTCCCCTGTTTGTTCACACTAGTATATTTTTGTGTACTGGGTATTATGGGTGATACGTTAAAGACTTTGGAGCTTGTTCTTTTTCTCTGATGAGTGTTGATTTTTGTCTTAGTAGACATATAATGTGACTGGAATCAAATCGCAACTTTATTTTTTCTGTGACAGGCAGCAGCAGAAATCTCATCTCAGATCCTTCCACCTTCGAGCTGTTTCTTTTTGTGGAGAACCTTGGAGCTTTCCTCAAACTAGGGTCATTCAAACATTGGGCATAGTTCATACAGAAATTTTGCAGCCCTTTTTTTTTCTGGGATTTCACCTTTCACTTTTCAGCTGCCTTGGCAACCCCAAACTTTGTCCTTTTTAAGCTAGCAAGACAACAGATTCCTGCTTCAGTTCTAAGTGGTCATTGCCACATGGGCTGTTGAGTATCCCTCAGGCAAAAGCCTTATAAAAATTCTACCAGTGCTCTTTGGGAGGCTGAGGTGGGTGGATTGCTTGAGCTCAGGAGTTCTAGACCAGCCTGAGCAACATGGTAAAACCTGTCTCTACTAAAATACAAAAAACTAGCCAGGCATGGCAGCATGTGCCTGTAAGCCCAGCTACTCAGAAGGCTGAGGCAAGAGAATCACTTGAACCTGGGAGGCAGAGGTTGTAGTGAGCCAAGATTGTGCTATTGCCCTCTAGCCTGGGCAACAGAGCAAGACTGTGTCTCAAAAAAAAAAAAAAAAAATTCAGGCCAGGCGCGGTGGCTCAAGCCTGTAATCCCAGCACTTTGGGAGGCCGAGGCGGGTGGATCACGAGGTCAAGAGATCGAGACCATCCTGGTCAACATGGTGAAACCCCGTCTCTACTAAAAATACAAAAAAATTAGCTGGGCATGGTGGCGCGTGCCTGTAATCCCAGCTACTCAGGAGGCTGGGGCAGGAGAATTGCCTGAACCCAGGAGGCGGAGGTTGCAGTGAGCCGAGATCGCACCATTGCACTCCAGCCTGGGTAACATGAGTGAAGCTCCGTCTCAAAAAAAAAAAAAAATTCTACCAGTACAGTTTTCTTATTTAAAGGCTAACCTCCTTCCAATTGCTACCTGCTTTGGATTACCTTTTTTACTTAATGTTTGTTTTTATATTTTGTCCAGAGTGTATAATTGTTATGTGTGGCAAGTTTATTTTAATATATGTTAACTTGTCATTATTTGAAGCAGAACATGGAAGCATTATTTTAATTGAAACAACAAAGTATGTTCAGGTAATATTTTAGGAAATTATGAAGCATCCACTAACAGATAAACCTCTTTGCCAAGTACCGTTCCTAGTGTTGGGAATGTCGTAGTAAGCAAATCATACCAACTTCTTTCCCTATAAAGTGAGTGGGGATGTTGGACAAACAGATAAGTGCCAGTGGCAGTAATTATAATAAAGATAAATAAAGCAACATAAAGGACAAGAGTACAAGATACATGGTCAGGGAAGGTTTCTAAGAAGATAATGTTTGAACCACTAAGCACAGAAAAGTAAGGGAGCAAGCCAGGCAGATGGCACTTTTGAAAAGTGTCCCTTGGCAGAGAGAACAGCAGAGCAAAAGCCTTAAATATCATACTAAGAGGACTAAAAGAAAAGTAACTTAAAATGATACAGAGCATTTACCAAAACACACATTACCAGCATTATTCTTGATTTCAAAAAGCTTGGAAGTAAATTATTTAATGTGGAAACAAAACAAGAATACCTGCTATCACTGTTACTCTTCATTGTACTGAAGATTTTAGCCAAAGTAATTAGATAAGAAAAAGGAGGGGGAGGAGACACAAAGATTGGAAAGGAAGAAACAAAATGATTATCTACAAGAGAATCTACATACTATTAGAACTGTCTGGGTGCAGTGGCTCATGCCTGTAATCACAGCATTTTGGGAGGCCGAAGTGGGCAGATCACCTGAGGTCGGGAGTTTGAGATTAGTCTGACCAACATGGAGAAACCCCATTTCTAGTAAAACAAAAATAAAATAAAAAATTATTCAGGGTGGTGGCATATGCCTGTAATCCCAGCTACTTAGGAGGCTGAGACAGGAGAATCGCTTGAACCCGGGAGGCAGAGGTTGCGGTGAGCTGAGATCACGCCACTGTACTCTCCAGCCTGGGCAACAAAAGCAAAACAGTGTCTCAAAAAAAAAAAAAAAAAAAAGAATCTACATATTATTAGAACTAACAAGAGTTTATGAAGTTTGCTGGAGATGAGGTCGATACAGAAAACCAATAGTTTCACTGCACATCAACACAGAGATATAATTTAATACCATCTGTAAGCTGCCTTGTGCTTTTTCTAACAAAATATTCAGAAGGGAAATGACATTTCAAGGACAGTTAAAAAATAAATCCAAATTATCAGTCATCTCCCTCATTTAATCTGTAACATCAATACAGTACAAAAATAAAGTCCTCCATAAAGTTTAAGGAGGACTTTATGAAATTAGAAAAACTGAAAAATTAACCTGGAAAAACAAAGGTCCAAGAATTGTCAAGACTGTTTTGGAAATGAACAAGAGGGCGGTCATGCAATCAATTAACTAGACTTAATTTTTATAGCAGTAATAAATTCAAAATGTGATGTTGGCTTATGGATAGACAAGTAGATTAAAAATAAAACAGAAAAGAAGGGCCAGAAACAGATTCAGGCACATATAGAAATTTGGTATAATAAAATAGAGAACAATTGTATTCCCAGATGGAAAAATTATATAGTGTATATTACACTATACCATACACAAGAATAAATTCCAATTAAAGATCAAAATGAGAAAAGCTACCTTCAAAACTTCTAGAATAAAATATAGACTGCCTTTAACCTTAGCTAGATAGGATTTCTTAAAGAAGACATACAAATAACTCATAAAGAACTGTTTGACTAGATCAAAAATGTTAACTTTTATTAGAGAAAAGTTATTAACAAAGTTAAATATATATAATAGAATTCATATCTAGAGTATATAAAGCTACTATAATGCAATAAAAAAATAGCTCCACTTAAAAATATGCGAAGGTTAGGAACCAACAATTCATGGGGGAGAAAATCCATATGTTGAACAGGCAGATGAAAAGGCACACAACATTGCTAGTAATTGGGGAAAAGACAATTTTAAAAAAATACCATTTTATGTCCATTGGAATAGTAACTTTTTAGTATATGTATTTCATATAGCATGTATAAATGGCATGTATATATATGCAAGGTAATAGGAAAATAGGAATTATCATATATTGCTAATGGAAGTATAAATGGATAGAAGTGTTTGAGAGAGAAATTTGTTAATATAAAATAAAATTTAAACAAAATCATTTATAAGCCCTAGAAAATCGACTTCTAGATTTATAGCTTAGAAATTCTTACAGGTGTATACCAAGAGACATGTACAAAGACACTTATTGCAGTATTGTTTGTAGAAAAACTGGAAGCTACATAATTACCTTTCAGTAGAGGAATTGATGAATAAATTTGATTATTCATTCAGTGAGATACTTTTTAGTAAATGAACTTCATCTAAGTATATGAACATGGATGGAACTCAAAAACAATGTTGAGTAAAAAAACAATTGTAGAATATATACAAAGTAATGGAATTTACATAAATATTTAAAAGCTTCACAGAACAGTGTATGTTGCCTATAGATTTTTGTGTATCTAATACAAGGAACAACTTGAAGTAACAACCGGAAAGTTTACACACTGGATTAACGGTAGTTTCCTTTGAGAAGGTAGGGAGGGGTATAAGGTTAGCGAGAAAAAAAGGGGGACTTAAACTTCTATATTGTTCTATTATGTTTAACTATAAAGTAAAAATAATCAAGGGACTAAATTAAGTGATTCCAGGGTCCTCATCTACCAGAAGGGCTTTCATTTTTCTTTCTAATTCTGTCTTTTAAAACAGTGGTCCCCAACCATTTTGGCACCAGGGACCAAATTCATGGAAGACAGTTTTTCCACAGATGGAGGGCTGGGGGAGATGGTTTGGGGGATGATTCGAGCTCATAACATTTATAGTACAGTTTACTTATGTTATTATTACGTTGTAATATATAATGAAATAATTATACAACTCACCATACTGTAGAATCAGTGGGAGTCCACTTGTTTTTCTGCAGCTAGATGGTTATCCCATCTAGGGGTGATGGGAGACAGTGACAGATCATCAGGCATTAGATTCTCATAAGTACCATGCAACCTAGATCCCTCATATGCACAGTTCACAAGAGGGTTCACAGGTTCCTATGAGAATCTGATGTTGCCACTGATCTGATAGGAGGCAGAGCTCAGGCTGCTTGGCTGCTCAACTCCTGCTTTGTAGCCCGGTTCCTAACAGGGATGAGAGTTGGGGACCCCTGCTTTAAAAGGCTATCATTTATATGTATCTTTTAGAGCTTTACCATTATACATTACATGTATCTTTTAGAGCTTTATCATTACATGTATATTTTAGAGGATGGTAGATATAACTATCCTCCTTAGATAATCCCATAGAATAGTCAGTTACTGGTAGAATGAAAATATGTTGAGATCTATATGTTATAAAATAAACATTTCATTTTCATACTAACTTATATAAAAACTCATTCTTAAGTGGTCCCAGTCTTTCCAAGGGCTTTTCTTAATCTAGGGTACTGAATTTTTTTTGTCACTTATTCATTCAACAGATTTTATTGAACTCCATAGATGTACCAGATGATAACACAGCAGTGGGCAATACAGACAAAGTCTGCTGTTATGAAGTTTAAGTTCTAGTCAAGGAAGATAGCTGGTAAACAAATTAATAAAATTATAATATGGCAGATGATAAGTGCAATGATGAAAAATCAAGCACGATGAGAGCTACAGAGAGTGATTGGGAGTATTTTATATGGGCAAGTCAGGGAGGAACTGTGTTAAAGATAATATGCAGCAAGATAACAGAGAGAAAGTAAAGGGATAAGTTGTATAGGAGAAAAGTCCTAGAGGATGACAGATCAAGCCGGTGCAGGGCCCGCTCTTGCCATACTGCTATCACGGAGACCACCTGGCTAGAGCAGAATGAATGAAGAATAGACTACTATGAGATTAGACCAGAAAGATAACAGAGGATTGGGTCATACAGGGCTTTTATGGCCATGGTAAAGACTAAGGATTAATATCATCTGCAAAAAGAAGACAAGATCTTTGCAAAATCTTGCAGTGAGCCAAGATCACGTCACTGCACTCCAGCCTGGCAATATAGCAAGATTCTGTCTCAAAAACAAACAAAAAAACCTCTAAAAATATTTTGTTGGATTTTGGGAAGGGGATTTCATTCCCTCTTAACCTACAGTTATCCTTTACTTTTTTGCTCTTTTTAGTCATTCTAAACTTTGCAATTAAACTGAATCCAGTCATATTTTATTGTTTAGAAAATGTACAGGTATAAAATGTTATTAATGATTGTGTTAAGTGAAATTTCAATACTAATTTTTTTTACATCATAGCTTAGCTGTATGGCTACATAAAAAGGCAAATAACCAGTTTTGGTTTACATTTATTTGGCTTTAGAAACTCTTGCAGAAGACAATTTGGTTTTAACATGTTTTAAAGATTGTATGTAAACTGTTCCTGAACATCTTGCACAGTTTCTTTGCATTTTCACTTTCCTTTATGTTACAACAAAATCCAAAGTTTGCAATGGTTGTTTTTTATACTGGCTTCATTTGTGTTATTTATTAACATTTCACTTACATTCAGTAGTTCTGTTAAATTGATGTATAATGGCTTTATTGTATTGTTTATTTCCTTTTTTATTTTTTGATGGAATCTCGCTCTGTCATCCAGGCTGGAGTGCAGTGGTGCATTCTCAGCTCATTGCAACCTCCGACTCCCTGGTTCAAGTGATTCTCCTGCCTCAACTTCCTGAGTAGCTGGGATTACAGGCACGAGCCACCACGCCCAGCTAATTTTTGTATTTTTAGTAGAGACAGGGTTTCACCATGTTGGCCAGGATGGTCTCGATCTCCTGACCTCATGATATGCCCACCTCAGCCTCCCAAAGTGTTGGGGTTATGGGCATGAGCCACCTCGTCTGGCCAATTTATTATTATATTAATCTTTTTTATTGCTTTTATGTCTAGGGAGTCTTGTTATTGGTGTGTGTGTCTGTGCGTAGAGACAGATTGGGAGAACAGAATCTTTTATATATCAAGTCTTACAAGGTACAGATCGTAGTATATTATTATGACTTTTAAGTGCTAAGCAAATTATTGTCCAGAGGGGCAGGCAAACAGTAAAAATCATAATTACTGCAAGCTCTGTGCCATACTTTTAAGTATAGTAATAAATGTGCATTTATATACTGTTAAAAATTGTTTACTCAAAATAAACTTAGGAAATATTTTGACCATGCTTTAAGATTAAATTTAGTACAATGAATGGGAAATAGATTTTTGTTTTGCTTTGTGAAAAACACAGTTTTAGGCTACAATCCTTAATCTTAGTAGGATGCTGTATTTATTTTTTTCATAGTAAGGAAGACTAAATTACCACATCTTACTGAGAATTTTGCAGACATTTCATAAAATTTTCATTTACTAACCTAAGTTTCTCTTTCTTTTAGCAAAACTGTACAATCTAAAGTGGACTGCATTTTGGTAAGTGAAAAAACTAATCTTAAAGTTTTTTTGCAATAAGGTTTTTATCACAATATAAAATATAAAATTTTTAAGGAAATGTTGATTTTAAATATAATCCAACTCCAATGAATAAAATTTGACATTTTAATTACAGCCCCCTCAGGTGAATTGTTTATAAGCTATCTAGTTACTTTCCTATATCTCATCAATAATAAAATCACAGTCTTAGGTATTTACATGTTTTTGAATCCTACTGGTTTTTACTGAAAGATTGCTTAAACAAACATTTAATTAAACTGGATATTTATTTTTCGATTATAATAACTTTGTAAGAATTTGTTTAGAGAAAAGTTTTTAAAGATGTTTAATGGATTAGTTTTGTTGAGATAGCATATCTTTCATGTTTTGGTTGCTAGCCTGTGGGAATTAAGCAATAATAATAGTTTAAGTTTAGATTCTACCTAATAAACTGTAAAAATTTGTTTTAAAAAAATCTTTTCAGATGCTTAGTGGATTAGTTTTTGTTGGGTTGCCAGCTTTTAAGATTTAAAGCCACAATAATAGTTTAAATTTAGATTGTGTTAATATAGTTGTAGTTTCTTAGGTCTTCTCTTAAAAGTGTGAGGGAAGGAGCATGCAGCTACTGGGACATCTGGAATACTGCTGATTTCTTTCATAACATTTCTGCCGAAAGGCTACCCTCTAGAGTTTAGAACATACAAAGGCTCTGTACTGTTAGATTCCCCAAATTGTCAGTGTTGTTAGTTCTCTTTTCCTGCTTGTGACTGCAAAAGTTCTCCTATCCAAGTTTGAATCTTGCTTATAAGCTAACCTGAGATTGGTGGTGGTGGTGGTGGTGGTGGTGGTGGTGGTGGTCTGTTTCAGTGTCTGGTGCTGAAATAGTATGATATCTTATTAGCTTATGTTATTATTAGGTTATTATCTGCTAGGTAGGTGAATAAATAGGCATAGTTTATAGGAGAAGATACAACTTAATCAGTTTTCTTTTACTTTTCTAAACTAATAGCTAAAGGAGGACTTTGTGGAGGTGTTTTTCTTTTCCTTTTCACTTACTGTTCCTTTTGTTGTGTGTGTGTGTGTGTGTGTGTGTGTGTGTGTGTGTGTGTGTAGTTTTTTGGGTTTTTTATTTTTTGTCTTATAATAAACCTTTGAAGTAAGTAATGTTGTCACCTCCCTTTTACAAATGAAGACACCAGGGCTCTTGCATTTCATTCAAAAAATTATTAAACAAAATTATTGAACAGTTTTACTCATAAGGGATACCAAACAGAAATGACATATTCTCTGCCCTTAAGAAATCAAGTCTGTTATTAAGCGGTATATTCAAGAGTACTCTTAAGACCTGGGAAAGTGCTGATTGGAGATGGAGGGAGTAACACATTCCCACCAACCTCCAGAGCATTTCCTGTCTTCCAGCTCTTAAGAGTCTCATTGTTTATGTGTCATTCTGTAATTATTTCATAATTACCATATACTAGACCCTGTTCTTGGTACCAGAGTACAGTGGTAAGCAAGACAGACACAGTTCTTGTCTATCTAAGGCTACCTACTTTCTTTGCAATACTTGAGATAACTTTGGAGTATTACTCATTTTGTCTCTTCATTGAAAAGAGGCAGAAGAAAATTGGTATATATTATAAAATATGACATTTATAAAATGCTAAGTAAGAACAAAAGTCTTTTTAAAGTCCTTTAAGAGTTCAGAAGTGTTTATATTTTAGTGTAAGTTTTAGAATATATGTAAATTTTGGGCCAGGCGCGGTGGCTCAAGCCTGTAATCCCAGCACTGTGGGAGGCCGAGGCGGGTGGATCACGAGGTCAAGAGATCGAGACCATCCTGGTCAACATGGTGAAACCCCGTCTCTACTAAAAATACAAAAAAATTAGCTGGGCATGGTGGTACATGCCTGTAATCCCAGCGACTCAGGAGGCTGAGGCAGGAGAATTGCCTGAACCTGGGAGGCGGAGGTTGCGGTGAGCCGAGATCGTGCCATTACACTCCAGCCTGGGTAACAAGAGCGAAACTCTGTCTCAAAAAAAAAAAAAAAAAGAATATATGTAAATTTTTACTTAGTAATTTAAAAATACTGTTAGGTCCTAGACATACAGTCATGAACAAGATACTAAGACCTCTCCTCTCATGATCCTTTTGTTTTATTGGGTGAGGTAGACATTAAAAAAGTGAGCACACAATTTTTAAAAGGCAAAGGCAGGCAGGCAGTGGTGGGTAGGGTAACCTTAGATAGGGTGGCCAGGGAAAGCTTCTTTGAGGAGATGACATTTGAGTGGCGACCTGAGTAATAAGAAGCCGTCCTTGAGTCATGATCTGCTGGTGATACACACCAGGTAGAAGAGGAACAGTAGGTACAAAAATTTTGAAGGAGGAATGAGTTTGGGATATTTGAAGAATACAGGATCCCAGTGTGCTGGTACTTACGGAAGGAAGTAGAGAGCGATAGAAAAGTTCAACCAGGGAGTTGTTTGTGTATTGCATATTTAGTCATGGCAAGTAATATCCTATGTGCACTGGAAGCTGATTAGAGGATTTTATGCAGAGAATAGTGCAATCCAATTTTTTTTAATACCCTGGCTATAGTTGGAACAGTGGATTGTAGGGGGATATGAGTAGAAGCAGGAAAACTAATTAGGCTATTGCAGAAGTGCAGTAGATAATTCAAGGCTCTTACTCAGATGATGGCAGTGGAAGTTTTTTTAAGTAGATGGATTTAAGGAATATTTTGGATATAAAGCCAGTAGACCTTGCTTGCTGAAATATTGAATGTGGAGGGGAAACAGAGGAATCAAGGATGATTCCTTTCAGTCTAAAGCACTTCTTCTAGTGTTTCTTATACCACAGATTTGTTTGTAATGAATTTTCTCAGTCTGTTTATCTGTGAATGTCTCTATTTTGCCTTCAGTTTTAAAATATAGTTTTGCTGGAAATGGAATTTCTAGTTTACAGTTTTGTTTGCTTGTTTTTTCTTTTATTATTTGGAATATGTTATTCCATTGCCTTTTGGACATCAGCCATTAATTATATCATTGTCTTCCTTTACATAAGTTTTATTTTGTTGGTGTTAAGATTTATCCTAGATTCATTTTCTCAGTCATTCACTTTTCTTTCCCTGACTTTTAACAGTTTGACTATGTATATAGTGGATCACTTTCTGTTTGTCCTACGTGGGTTTTGTTGAGCTCACATAGATTAGTTGGATTTGGGATGTTTTCAGCCGTTATCTTCCAAATACTTTTTCAGGCCCTTGATTCTCCCCTTGTAAAATTCCCATTTCACATATGTTGAAATGACTGATCTTATTTTTCTTGTCTCTCTGAAGCTCTATTTATTGTTTTCTCTGATTATCTTTATGCTGTAGTTTCTCTATCTTCACTAAGATTCCCTGTTGTCTGACCCATTGTCGTTCTGTTTTTCTTTGTGTGTTTAAATATAGCCTGCCTCATCCTAGCAGCAGTACTGGTCAAACCCATATGGTTTCATGGGAATAGGTCAGGGTAGCAGCCATAAGCAAGAATAATAAAGACTCTCATAGTTACTACTACCTGAAGTTCAGTAGTCTTTAGACTAAACATTTCCCAGTATGTTGTTTGCCTGTAGTTAGTTTCCAGAACCTAGTTTCTGACTGTTTTGTGTCTTTTTATAGTTGTAGAAAGAATTAGCCAACCTCTTTACTTCCTTTTCCAGATATCTCAATCTTCTTATATTTTATTACATTTTATTCTACAAGTTTTATAGTTGTAGTGTTTTTCTTTTAGATGTTTGAACCATGATGTGTTAAATTTGTGTTTGCTTTAAGGTGAACTTGAGGGTTCATTTTTTTACATTATGGATGAATATCCAGTTTTGTTTATATATACATATAATTATATATAATTATATTATATATAATTATATGTATATATAATATATAATGTATATATTATATGCATATATATAATTATATGTATATATAATATATATATGTATATATATAATTATATATAATTATATGTATATATAAAACTGCACTTTAGGTTCTGGGGGTACATGTGAAGAACATGCAGATTTGTTACATAGGTACATACATGGCAGTGTGGTTTGCTGCCTCCATCCCCATCACCTATATCTGGCATTTCTCCCCATGTTATCCCTCCCCACATCCTACCCCCTGCTGTCCCTCCCCTAGTCTCCCCCAACAGACCCCAGTTTATGATGCACCCCTCCTTGTGTCCATGTGTTCTCATTGTTCAACCTCCACCTGTGAGTGAGAACATGCGGTGTTGAATTTTCTGTTCTTGTGCCAGTTTGCTGAGAATGATGGTTTCCAGGTTCATCCATGTCCCTACAAAGGACACGAACTCATCGTTTTTTTTTTTATGGCTGCATAGTATTCCTGGTGTATATGTGCCACATTTTCCCTTTCCAGTCTATCATTGATGGGCAGTTGGGTTGGTTCCAGGTCTTTGCTATCGTAAATAGTGCCGCAATGAACATACCTGTGCATGTGTCTTTATAACAGAATGATTTATAAACCTTTGGATATATACACAGTAATGGGATTGCTGGGTCAAATGGAATTTCTGTTTCTAGGTCCTTGAGGAATCGTCACACCGTCTTCCACAATGGTTGAACTAATTTATACTCCTACCAACAGTGAAAAAGTGTTGCTATTTCGCCACATCCTGTCCAGCATCTGTTGTCTTTAGATTTTTTAATGATCGCCATTCTAAATGGCGTGAGATGGTATGTCAATGTGGCTTTGATTTGCATTTCTCCAATGACCAGTGATGATGAGCATTTTTTCATATGTTTGTTGGCCTCATGTATGTCTTTTTTTGAAAAGTGTCTGTTCGTGTCCTTTGCCCACTTTCGGATGGGTTTGTTTGGTTTTTTCTTGTAAATCTGTTTTAGTTCTTTATAGATTGTGGATATTAGCCCTTTGTCAGCTGGGTAGATTGCAAAAATGTTTCCCATTCTTTTGGTTGCCGGTTCACTATAATGA